GTTACCGCGCTCTTCCCTGCCACCGCCCCAGTGGGGGCGGGTGTTTAGCCGGTGTCTGCCAGGTAGGCAGGGTTTGGGGCAGAACCTCTTGTGCCAGAACACGAAGGGCGAATGGCGTGTCCCTGAGGTGAGGAGTAACGGCCCCGCTCCCGGCGGACAGCCGTCGGCCTGAGGAGACCCGTCCCTCCCTGCTGTGTGTTCGTCCCGCGCTTTGCATTCCGGGCTTGTCCACCTCAGAGGGAAAAATGTGAATCTGAAGCTGATGTTCTTGAGTTTTCTCTATTAAAGGTGCGAGAGGGTGCTCCTAAGGGCACCTCGCAGAGCTGCTGGAACCGGATCTTCTGTGACTCCAGGGTATTTGAGGTTCCTGCTGCCGGCCTTCCTTCCCAAGCGAAGCTACACACGCTAGTACATGTGACACATGTACCTACGCAAAGCTAGCTAAAGCACAACTGTAGTTAGGATTTCCTGGAGTTAGAGATGCCTCTACAAAAGACACCTTTAGTGTCTTGGAGAGCAAGGCTTCCAAATGGCGATTTCTGCTGGGACAAGAGAAGAGTCGTAGGAGCTGGATTTTTCTGTCTTTGCTTAGAGCTTTGTCTCTGCTTGGAGGAGTGTAGTAACAAGTCCAACTAGCAATAAGCAGGTGCTATTCACACTGAAATGGAGGTGAAAAAAGCTGTATATGATACATTTTTTTAATTCTAAATATTTTGAGGAGGAGGGGCATGGTTCAGGAAGCTTCTTTGATAAGTATTAGAAAATATTTAGAAGTAATTTGGGTATTTTCAATGCAAAAAAAAATACTGTCTCTTCGCTTTAAAAAATATAGGAAAGCGATCTGGAAAACAGGGTTCTTCCATCCATCACACACTTAAACTGCCTCTCTTATTTTGTACCTTTGTACTGATGATTCAGTCCTTCTCCAGTGCATTTCTTTATCAAAGCAGTGTTTCCAAAGTGTTAACAAGAAAAAACTTCATGGTCCTTAAAGCCCTCATATCACAAAGAATACCAAAGTTCACTACATTATTAAGATCAATATATTCCACGTGTAGATAATAGTTGAACTATTGTTCCTGTAACAATTAAGCATATAACCTGAAAAAGATCATGCTGATTTGTTCAGTTTTTGAAATCAGGATTCTCTCAATGAAAAAATAAAGCCGTAACAGGTACAATTTTCTGGGGTTTTTAATGCTGAAAATGTTTTGTATTACATGAGAAGTGCTCAGTGTTGGCTATAATAGCATTTTGTTAACATCTGAAATACGTAGATACAGGATATTTAATTTAATTAGTAAAAAATAAACACTTTTTCCAATTCATTACTAGTCTTCTGGGGTTTTTGCTTGATTTTTGGTATAGTATGGAGACAATATTTTTACCGTTTTTTTAAAAGACCTGTGTTCAAAATTAAATGGGAGATGCTTTAGAGAATATTTTTGTTTGTGGGGAAAATTATGAAAGACTAGAAAATATTATCACTCACTGAAGGAGCCATCTTCACAATGCCTAGCTGTGTTTTACAGCACAATCAACTATCCTTCCTAAACCACACTATGATTTCTAAAATACTCTTTCTACAATGAAACTGAAGGAATTGACACAGGCAGGTATTATACATTTGATTTACCAATAAAACACGGATGCCCGTAGAAACATAAACTTGCTATCCAAACAAAATAGTGTTAATTACCATTACTGGATAACTTTGAATGACTTTGTCTGCCTTTTCTGGAGCACTAGTGATGAACTTCAGCCTTGTATCTGATATGACTGCTCTTTCTGGAGGCTTATCAATGCTAGAGGGCATTTGTTTTCTGTTTCACAGAGAGAGCACGGATTTCCAAGACATGGAGAACTTTTCAGAACCACTGAAACACTTCTATGAAGATATTCAGGATTTCTGATGTAGGATGCCCAGTGTATTCAGAGATGCTATCCCTAAATGTTCACCCATCGCATTTAATCATACCCGTGACCTTATTTGAAGCAGCTTGGAAGTTTTCAAAACACACCACATTCATTTTCAGAAAAAATGA